GAAAGGAATTTTGCTCTTGTCCAGGCTTACCTTTTAGGAAGGGGCTGTTCTGAGAGGAAAGGAATAGGTACCAAACTGAGAAAACTTCACAGAGAGGTAAGCACTGCTTCTGTATGTCCTTTCTTTTCTTGCTATGATGCTTCTCAGTAGGCAGGTCCAGTTTAGATACCTTCATAACAGTTGTCCCATTTGCTCTTCTGTACAACACATAGTGGTTCAGTTTGTTGTTTTTTTTTTAAAGCTTCTGATGTTCATCCTGCTTCTTGATGTTCAAACTTCAATGTTTCTGGCAGCCAGCCAGGTCAATTAAATATCTATTTTTGGGGTTGTACTGTTCAGCTAGACAGCAAGAACAAGATGAGGAAGACAAGTGGCATAACTCTAGAAAACTGAGTGAGGGCTATGATTCTAGGGATGTTTTTCTCTATGCCATATGACCCTAAATGCCCTAGCCTAGGAAAGTCATCAAAGCTATTTAGTTCACTCTCTGTACCAGCTTTAAATGGGGACCTGTTTAAAATGCAAAATCTCAAGATCTAATTCATAGCTGTCCAATTCAGAATCTGAGGCTGAATAATCCTTTAATAAGCCTTCCAGGGGATTGGAAAACCACTAAAGGTCATTTATAGGATAGGCTGATCTATCTCTTTGCCATTTCTTCTTTCTCCTCTCCCACCACCTTCTCCTCCTCCTCCTCTGCCTCCTTTTCCTCCTCCTCCCCTTCTTCTTCCTCCTCCTCCTTCTTTTTGCCAGGACTGGGGCTTGAACTTTGCTTAGATTTTTCCTCTCAAAGCTGGCACTTTACCACTTGAGCTACACTTCTGTCTTTTTACAAGTTAATTGGAGATAAGCATCTCAAGGACTTTCCTGTCTGTCTGGCTTCAAACCTTGATCCTCAGATCTCAGTCACCTGAGTAACCATTACTACAGGCATGAGCCAGCAGTGCCTGACTTTCTCTTTGCCTTTTTGACATTGACATTGTGGTTGGATTGACAAAGGCAAAGCTTTTCAGTAAAGCCAAATAGAAACTGAAATTTGCTCCATATGTACTAACTGAGTGACCATAGACTGCTTCATTTAATATTATAGGTTGTCTTCCATAGAAATGAAGATGCTAATGCTTATAGAGAATTATAGAGATTGAGATAAAAAGAAGCCTTTTACTCAAAGATTGCTATGTATTTTTTAACACATGCAAGTTTCTTCTATTTCCTGCCATTTCTTCATTAGCCACTCTAACTTAGTTGCAGATATATGCCTTGTTGATCAGAGATTAGCCTTAGATTTCAAAGTCCCAGTGCCTCCAAAGTAAGGTGATTATAGCTCTAGATTAAAAATCAGGGCATTGGGCTGGGAAGGTGGCTCAGTGGCAGAGTGCTTGCTTTGCGTTCCTGAGGTCCTTCATTCGATTCCTCAGCACCACATAAGCAGAAAAGGCCGGAAGTGGTGCTGTGGCTCAAGTGGTAGAGCACTAGCCTTGAGCTGAAGAGCTGAGGAACAGCACCCAGGCCCTGAGTTCAGGCCCCACAACTGACAAAAAAAAAATTAGAGCATGCAGGTCTAATAAAAATGTATATATTTGTGAAATTAATGTAATATAATATTTGAAATTAGGACCATCTTGGGAAATCTAAATTGAAAGGAATAGAACCTCATTCCATCTTTAAGCTTGACATGACTCTTCTTCCCATCCTTTTACTCATTCATATTCAGACAGGTCTTTGGAATGGAGGTTTCAAAACACTGCCCTATTCACTGTGTAGGGGCCAATTTGGATTTTGTGCTGCATCCCAAATGCCCTGTGGTATTATGTTAGAAGTTACACAGTTGTGCCGGGCGCTGGTGGCTCACACCTGTAATCCTAGCTACTCAGGAGGCTGAGATCTGAGGATCGCGGTTCAAAGCCAGCCCGGGCAGGAGAGACTGTGAGACTCCTATCTCCAATAAACCACCAGAAAACCGGAAGTAGCGCTATAGCTCAAGTGGTAGAGCACTCGCCTTGAGCTGAAGACTGAGGGACAGCGCCCAGGCCCAGAGTTCAAGCCCCATGACCGACAAAAAAAAAAAAAAAGAAGTTACACAGTTGTATTGTCCCATAGCCTAGAATCATTTGAATGCATCGCTAGCATCAGCAAGCACCACCTCCTGGTTTTGTATTGGGTTTACAGGATGAAGAGTGGAGACAGTTTGGAATTAGGGCTTTTGGTGAGAAAAGGAACATAAACTAGATTGAGAATAGAGAATTTAATTTCTGGTTTAGCTACCACTAAAATACTCTTCCTTGGCTTTCTTTATATAACTCTTACCATTTGATAGTGTTGGTTCATCCTTGTTGAAACTTTTGTGCTTGGCTTTTGTGAGGTTATAATCCTTGGTATCCTAATGATATGTTGACAACTGTATCTACATTTATTTTCCTTGGCTCTTCTGTTCTTCAACTCCCATTGTCACAACTTCTCAAGGTTTCTGACCTCCTCTTGGTGCTTTCTTTCAAGGCAAACTTCCTTGGTTTCTACAATGTCTTCTGACTCCCATACTATATCTGTATCCTCCAACCTCTCTTGAGTATGTATGTATATAAATATATATATATATGTGTGTGTGTGTGTTGTATGTACATATATGTATATATATAATATACTGGACGTTGTCTTGAACACTATACATCTAGCATTTAAGCTCACTTCCCTCTACAGCCCTGTCCATAATGCAGACATTATCTCATTTTGCAGATGAAGAAATTGAGCCTAAAGAATATACAGTTTGAAATTCTTTGCTGGATTTTGTGAAAGTGCCCTCCTCAATATCTTTATTTCATGCTGACAGTTCCTATATGATCATTCCCTTTGATACTTCCAATCTTTACCTATTATCATTACTACTTTTTAAAATAACAATGCCCAGAATTTGAAGCTAGGTTTGTCTGCATTTAACCATCTTTATATCCTGCTTTAAGGGTATTTGCTAATTGGTGCCCAGAGGCCTTTAGATCCTTCGGTAAGGACAATCAAAATGAGCATATTCCTGCACACAGTAGGAGTTCACTGAATGAAAATTGAAAGGAAAATGAATGTACAAAGTGTCAATGAATGAAAATCTTGTAGCAAGTTAAATATCAAGCCTCCGCACAAAAGCAAGTCTTGGGACCAATTTCTGGTTGAAATTTAGTTTATTAAAGAAAACACTCTGGGAAGCAGGGAGGATTGGGTGGGGGGGCGGGGGGAGGATGGGAAGGGATGGGAAGGGGAAACAAAGGAGGAGGCTACAATGCTTGATAAGAAATGTACTCAGTATCTTGCCCATGTAATTGTAACCCCTCTGTACAGTATTTTCACAATAAAAAAAACACTCAGAATATGAGAGAAAAATACTCCCTTACTTCTGTTAGCATTTATGATAGAGCATAGGGGCCACATACAGCCACCAACCCCTTCTGGATTTGTCTTCATTGCACTTCTACAATAAATATACCTGCCAGCCTTGTGTTTAGTGTTTTCCAGCTCATGAGTCAAGTGGGAGTGTAGAATTATCCCCATTTTATAAGTGAAGAAACCGGGATCCAGAGACAGCAGAGCATAAAAATTACAAACATAGTCTCTAGAGCTAGATTATACTTGGATTTGAATTATGGTTTCATAGATTCTGTCCTGAGCAGAGGGTTGGTAATAAATGCCAAGCAACACTTTGATCCTTGACCCAATTCCAAGGATATTGTTTTAAGCCATGAACCTTCATGGTCCTCTAGGTTTTGGCTATATGGGCTTACTGAGCTCAACAACACCTAGTTGGGACCAGCTTTGGCAGGAGAGGGGAAACTTCTCTAAAAGATTTGTTTTATTGAAGGTAGTGACCTTAAATTCTCTTTTTTTTCTTCTGTGACCAACAATTCTCTTTCTCTACAGAGGTCAGAACAAGGAGAAATTGCCTTTTCTTTGCAAGAAAGCAGGTTCAACATAAAAATGAATCTCCTCAGAGACAAGGGCATCAATGACTAAAAATGACTGAATCTCCTTCAGGTTCTTTAAGACCAGGAACTATTTGGTGTTTTTTTGTTTTTGTTTTTTTTACAATATTATGGGTGCATTCTACAGGTTCAGTACAAATAAATACATACATTTGTGAGTGTATGTGTGTGTGTGTGCCTGTGTGTGTTCATGTAGTTGTAGAAGTTTGCCTGCTGTTGTGTGGACCCCAGATCTGCTGTCCATGAAATCTAGTAGCCCAAGTTAAGTCTCCCTTCCTGACTAATCTTTAAGTCACCTCTCAATTTCTTTGTTGCTCAGTTTTGCATCCAGCAAATGGAAAAAAAGTCAACCCTGGCTCCCTTTGTATCTCACAGGGTGATAATCAAAATCACTGAGGAATTCTGTGTCAATGTTGAGTTTCTTGGGCACACAGAAAGCCATATTCTTTCATCCCCATGACCTCTCTGGATGGCATCATGTGTGGGTGAGGGCAGGAGGCTGCAGGACTGGGGTCCATTGTATGTGAAGAATGTTATAGTCTTTTACTCCAGGGAAGGAGTGCAGTGAGGTTAAAGAATATACCACCAACTCTCAATTGGTCAGTTCTAAGGAGGAGGAGGAAAGAGGGACCAAGTAATAGAAAGCAATTATGTTTGAGCCTCATTTTACCCACTGAGGTTAGACTCTCTACACATTCCAGACCTAGAGCTGCCTTGAAGATCCAAAGAGAGATGGACTGGAAATGTCTTTCTTCTCTGGAGGAGGAGTTCATGAGCAGAGATAAAAGCATGATGCCTGTATAGTATCTATTCACATTCTGGATCATTTCATGCACTGACAAATGGAGAGTTGACAGCATTGTTTGTCTTGTGGTTCAACAGAGCTTGCAGTTTAGTGTCATTACCCTCACCCCCTACCCCTCACCACTAGAGTATATAGCTTTTCCATACATAGTAGAGTTCTCTAGGTGGGAGAAGGGGCAAGCAAGATAGCCAGTAGCATGGACTGAACACATTCTTATTTTGTCTCCTAAGCTGATCACTGGAGATTCCATCGTTAGTGCTGAGGCAGTATGGGATCACGTCACCATGGCCAACCGGGAGTTGGCATTTAAGGCTGGCGACGTCATCAAAGTCTTGGATGCTTCCAACAAGGATTGGTGGTGGGGCCAGATCGACGATGAGGAGGGATGGTTTCCTGCCAGCTTTGTGAGGGTGAGTGTCAGCCTTCACTCTCCTCTCCTTTCTCCTTGGATGCCTACCCCAGGCTTCCCTTTAACCTTTATTCTGCTCATCCTCTCCTGGTGGATTTCTCCTATTTTCCTTTCGTTACTTTTCCTACCCTTCCCCTGTCCTTTACCCTTTCTTTCCTTTCTTTTTCCTTTTTCCTTTCTGTCTCCTACTCCAGAACTGGGCTTTTTAAATTTTTGCCTATTTATTTATTTATTGCTGGTAATGGAACTTGAACTCAGGGCCTCAGCTCTCACTTAGCATTTTTGTTCAAAGCTGGGTCTTTACCACTTGACCCACACCTCCAACTCTAGCTTTTTGCTGGTTAATTGGAGATAAGATCTCACAAACTTTCCTACCTGGACTGGTTTTGAACCTTGATGCTCAGATCTCAGCCTCCTGAGTATCTAGAATTACAAGTGTGAACTACCAGAGCCTGGTATCTTTCTGATTTTTCAGAATTTCTTTTTGCCTCTATTTTAATAACTTCCCCTATTTCCCATCTTTTTATAAATCCCTTCCCTTGTTTGGACTTTTATTTCCCCTTCTGGATTTGACCTGGATTGTTTTGAAGACCATTTTGACTCTATATTGGGGAAAAGTTTGCATTGTTGTCTTTTTTTCTTCATTTTCTATATTCCCTTTTTTGTCATCCCTTTTTCTTGTAGTTCTTACCCATATCCTCTTCTTTCTCTTCTCACATATTCCCTTCCTCTTCTTCCTTGCTGTTGCCTTTGCCTTGTTTCTTCATTTAGGGAAATGTTATTAGCCCTGTATGTTATCATAGCATTGTCTTTAGCTGTTAATATGGGAGTGAGTCCCTGACCTGTAGGGGCTAGAGCTTACTGATTACAGATCTTACTTGTGCAAGATTAGCTGATTGGGATGGAAGATGTGCTGGACATGGGAAAGAGGCAGACTGTAAGGGCATACAAGGACTTAGCTTCTTTCTCATGAAGAGCCTAGCCTTTAACAGAGGTTCTGGGGAAAATAGTGCCTACTCTGAGTCACCAATTGCCAGGGTGCTATGAGAAAATAATATTGGCCAGGTATTTCAGCTCTTGGCTTTCCTTGAGATTATGAGCTGGAATTTGTTCTTGGAGTATTGTATGTAAACTCTGTTTTCCCCCGTCTGTGAAATGGTGTAGGCAGGTTTTAGGGTTTTGGTTTTTTTTTTTTTTTTGCTATAGCTATAAGGTGTCACAGTGAATGAGAGAAAATGTGAAAATTATTTCATGGCAAGACAAATAGCAAAGGCATCTAAGGATGTCTTATGAAGATTCTCACTACAGACTGCCACCTTTTGTTATTTTCTTCTATAAAGTAAAGAAGTCTTCTTGGCCTCAAATAAAAGGTTAGAGAGCCTTAAGCTAGCTCTTGGAGACTGAAATTCCTCAAGGTTACTTTATGACAAAAGTGTGATATGAAAACAGGAGACAGGCATCTTTAGTCAGACAATTTGAGATACAGCTTTACTCCTACCTCTATGGCTTCTGGAAACATAAAGATATCATAAGCTTTGTTTTCCACATCTGAAAAATAAAGACAGCAGACTTTTTATAAGGATTTAATGAAATAGCATATATGAGTAAGATATATGGCACAGTACTAAAACATATTAGGTACCTGACACATATTAGGTATGGTAATTTGTTTTATCATTATCATAATCATCATTACTCACTAGCTCTATGAAATTCCATAGATTTAAGGCTGGCTCTAGGGGTTGAAAGATACTTTCTTCTTTAGTGGACTTCAATCACTGTTATCTGATGGAGATGGTTTAAGTGTGGACATGGCCCAGGAGAAGTAAAATAGACAAAATGACCTCTCATCCTCTTCTACCCTGAGAGTCTTCTAATGAAGTACTCAATCTTTTCTTTGATGTTTATGCAGCGTCTTTCATTAGTGTCTCAAAATGCTATCTGTGTCCCAACTCAGCTTTGCTAGTTGATGAATCAGTCCCAAGGGTAGTCAGAAAGAGCATATCAATAACCATGAGCCTTCAGGACTAGTGTGAAGCCCCGTAACAGAAAAAGCGTATTGCTCTTGTGCTGACAGACCTTTTTCTCTCTCTAAAAGAAGGACTAAACTATATTCAAAATCCAAGTGCATTTTGCTCACAGGGAAATGTCACTTTTAAAATAAACAGTAAGCCAAAGAATGAGGAGGGGATGACTGAGCAAGCCAGGATGGTTCTGGGAGGCAAATGGCAGAGTCAGGCTTCAGAATATCAAAGAATAAGTATTGGTAGCCCTAAATCCAAGGCCAGGAAGAGTGTGGTGTTAGATGGACATTGCCTACCCCTGTATCTAGACACACATCCCAGTAGCTACTTAGTATAGAATCACAGAGAAATATACCACTAAAACCCAGAATCCAGCCTAGTTCAGTAAGAATCCTGAGATGATTCTCCTCCTTTCTTTCTGTGTGTGTGGGTGTGCATGCATGCATGTGTACTTAGGGCCTTGCCTTCTTGCTTTTTAATCAAGGCTGGTACTATACCACATTTCCACTTCCAGCTTTTTTTCTGATTAATTGGAAATGAGTCTCAAGGATTGTTCTGCCCAGACTGGCTTCAAACTGCAGTTCTCAGATCTCAGCCTCCTTAGTAGGTAGGATTATTGACATGACCCACCAGTGCCTAGCTCAGAAAATTGATTTTTTTTCATTTACTTTATTGTTTTTTATAGAAGTGATATACAGAGGGATTGCACTTACATGAGTCAAGTAATGAGTACATTTCCTTTTGTACAGTGTCTTCTGCTCCCTCCTGTCTCCACCCACGAGTTATGTAGTTTTCTTTCATCAATGTCCAGTGAGCTCCATGCTGCACTTTTTCACTCTTTTTAGAAATTTAATTTTTTTTTCTTTTTTTTAATTTAATTTTATTTTATTTGTGAACATACTGTACAGAGGGGTTACAATTACATGGGCAGGATAATGCGTACATTTCTTACCAAGCATTGCAGCCTCCTCCTTTGGTTTACCCTTCACATCCAGAAATTTAATTTTTTGAGTGCCAGAAAGAACTGATCATTTTATTTCTATTGGGCAATAGAATATGCACGGAGTGTCACAATATAAATTAATTTTTTCTAATCACATTGAAAGAGTAAGGATATTACAAGTAAAATTACTTTTCATATATATTTTGCTTAATATAGTATATCCAAAATATTGTATAATATGTATTATCATTATAAATTTATTAATGATGTATTTACTAAGGTTTTGGAATCTGATATATATTGCATACTTAGAGCACAAGTAAGTTCACACTAGCAACATTATTAAATGCTCAGTAGGTACATGTGACTAGTTGATCAACAACACATGTTCAAGTCTAGAATGAATACTATGATCCTAGACCTGGAGCAATAAGGATAGATTTTAAATCATAATTCAGAGATCCATTATTTTTATACTATACTAGTGTTTATTCCTTTAAAAACTAAGATGTTTTCCTTTGTTATTCCAGATTGTATCCAGAATGAACATGTTTTTAACCATTGTGAACCTTTATATTTGTTTTAAGCACATTCAAATGGTCATTAGATCAATAATAGAGTGTAACATGGAAACAGGGACAGGCTGTAGAGGTATCATAGAAAAAGAAATGATATTATTAAGCTATTGCATGAATTATATGAATGTTGGCTATAAGGATGATCTTTCAATTCTCAGGAATAGTTATCTATGTCTAGCTTTACATTTTTGTGATTCTTTGATATCCAAGGGATTTCATTTTGGAGGCTATGGAGTTTCTTAGTGACTCAGAAAAACAATTACTATCTCCATTCTTTTATATTGCTTTTGGTTTAGGGTATAATGGTCTTGTGAAAACCAGTACTATCTAGTTTAGGAGTAACAGACTTGAATTTTAGTCAAGAGCCTACCACTTGTTTGTTATATGAACTTGGCCTTTTATTTTCTCCTTCATCTCTGTTGCACTAATTAAAATCTAATCAAGCCCTGATATGTCTAGGTAGGACACAGAAATAGGTCAGGTCACACTAAACTTTTTCTTTTTCTTTCTTATTTTTTTGTGGTACTGGGGTTTGAACTCAGGGCCCTGAACTTGCTGAGCAAGTGCTCTATAACCTGAGCCACACCTCTGGCTCTGAGAGAAACTCTTCATTAGCACTTATAAAGTTGGCAGGTAAATGGATAACTCCCTGTAATGCTGTACTTTCACACTGTAGGATAAGTTTTCCAATTTACTTAGAGTCATCCTGAGTACAGATTGTATAGTATTTTAAGAACATCATTTAAATGTTATTTGGCATCTAATAGGTATTATATTAACAAGGAAAAGCCTTATTTCAATCCTCACACCAATTGGATATCTTTGTCACTAGTAGGCCAAACTGACAATTGACATAGTTGGGTATTTCTATTCCCTACCAGAAAGCACATTTGTGTATGAACATTCAAGCTCTTGGATGGATAATTAATGGTGCTTAGTGAAGTTTTCTCCAAGCTAGACCCATCAATTGTTAATTATGTTAAAAACAAGATTCTAAAAATTCTAGATTCTTGCCTCAGTTCTGCCATTATATATACAAATTGGGAAGCTTCCTATTAATCTTTTTTTCCAGTCCTGGGGCTTGAACTCAGGGCCTGGGCACTATCCCTGAGCTTATTTTGCTCAAGGCTAGCACTCTATCACTTGAGCCACACAGCACACTTCTGGCTTTTTCTGTTTATGTGGCACTGAGGAATCGAACGCAGGGCTTCATGCATGCTAGGCAAACATTCTTCCACTAGGCAAGCATTCTTGCACTAAGCCACATTCCCAGCCCCCTATGAATTTTGTTTTGTTTTTTGTTTGTTTGTTTGTTTTTGTTGGTCGTGGGGCTTCAACTCTGGGCCTGAATGCTGTCCCTCAGCTCTTCAGCTCAAGGCTAGCACACTACCACTTGAGCTACAGCGCCACTTCTGGTTTTCTGGTGGTTTATTGGAGATAAGAGTCTCACAGACTT